ATTTAGGAGGGGTAGCTGGGAGGGGTTATAGGAAGGAGTGGGAGGAGTTAATACTGTATGATTTAGGAGGGGTAGCTGGGAGGGGTTATAGGAAGGAGTGGGAGGAGTTAATACTGTATGATTTAGGAGGGGTATCTGGGAGGGGTTATAGAAAGTAGGAGGAGTTATAGACTTGTTGTAGGCGGGTTCTATAGATTCCTGTTGGTTCTCATAGTAGATGTGATTTCAGCTGGTCCCGTACTCCATCAGTCGGACACGAGACGTCATCATGCAGATGGTAGAGTGGACCTTCATTCCTCGGGATGAGGGAGAAGATGAGACTTCCCCCGAGCAGAGCTGGCAGGAAGAACCTCAGCCATGTCCTAATGACTCCTGGGCACAGGGGTGTGTCCCCATCACCCAGCCTGTCCTCACAGCCCGCTCCAGTCTGCCTCAGGTATGTGTACCACCATCACCGAGGTGTTCACCATCACCCCGTCATTAGAAGACCAGTCATGGAGATGTTTGTCCTCAGGCTTCACCGGCCTCTGCCCCCGGTCTCCTCAGTACACGGCGATGACACAATCCCCATCCTCCAGTGTACTGATTTATTCTTTCATAAATGTTGACTTTAACCCGTCAGCCTCTTGTGACTTATTGTCCATCTTTGATCCTGAACAGGCATCGTCTGACCACCCCATGACACCTATTCCCGAGCAAGAAACAAAACCCCAAGAGGTGGCAATCTCCAAATCTCCCAATCCTCCTGAGGATCGGCCTTCAAGCTCCCAAGAAGTAGACCCCTCTCCGGAAGAAAAGACAGAGAAAGAGACTTCAGTGACTCAGAAGTCCTCACTGGTCATCAAGCCAACCCCACCCCCTAACCCTCCCAAGAATAAGACTGGATATCGTCCATATCGTGGACCTCTACGCTCGGCCGGGCTGAGGAACATCACAAAATCCCTGGAGGAGACAGAAAAAGAGATGCTTTTAGAAGAATTTATGAAAGTAAAAGAGGAGAAGGGCCTCAACGAAAATATCAACCTCTTGCCGACTTCCCTGCACAACATCCTGAAGATCCAGCTTGGGAGGCCACCCCAGAAGAAGGATGTCATCTACGATGATGAAGGCAATGTTCTTTCTGTGCCAAAACTAGACCTGGCCAAGCTCCCCCAGCATCATGTACGTCCCCGCATTGAGGTGCTGGACTCCAGCAAAGAAGCTGAGTATCGGGTTAGGAAGTCAAGCCGGATGGATGTACGAACACCCATCCACCAACCACAAAAAGGGACAAGAACCAGGGACAAGGGACAGCTTAAACTGTGTGAGATTACTGGACAGAAGTGTGGTCCCTCAACATTCCACCTCAGACTTTACCGGCTTACACCTTTACTAAAACCGATCACGTGAAGGGCTCGGCGGCCACTACTGCAGGCCTCGTTCTGGATACCATACAGCTTTCCCATGGAGTCATTCTGCGAGAGGGCAACACAACAGAACGAGGCTCCGTACAAAGCCTACGACAGAGAGAGCTGGCCTGGAGGGAAGAAAGCAGGCAGCTAGAGCCTATCCGACCCTCCGTAACTCTACCGAGTCTGTCCGTGGGACAGCTAATAGACAACAACATTCCCCAGGTCCAGCCACTGATGACCTTCATGCCATCCTAACCTCTTGTGTAGGTCTTGGTATACTTTGTGCCATCCTCACCTTCTGTGCTCCAGCATCTTGCATGCTCCATGTTCCTCACCTTCTGTCCTCCAGCACCTTGCTTGCTCCATGTTCCTGACCTGCTGTCCTCCAGCACCTTGCATGCTCCATGTTCTTCACCTTCTGTCCTCCAGCATCTTGCATGCTCCATGTTACTCACCTTCTGTCCTCCAGCGCCTTGCTTGCTCCATGTTCCTGACCTGCTGTCCTCCAGCATCTTGCATGCTCCATGTTTCTCACCTTCTGTCCTCCAGCACCTTGCATGCTCCATGTTCCTCACCTTCTGTCCTCCAGCACCTTGTATGCTCCATGTTCCTCACCTTCTATCCTCCATTTTCCTCACCTTCTGTCCTCCAGCACCTTGCATGCTCCATGTTCCTCACCTTCTGTCCTCCAGCACCTTGCATGCTCCATTTTCCTCACCTTCTGTGCTCCAGCACCTTGAATGCTCCATGTTCCTCACCTTCTGTGCTCCAGCACCTTTCATGCTCCATGTTCCTCACCTTCTGTGCTCCAGCACCTTGCATGCTCCATGTTCCTCACCTTCTGTGCTCCAGCATCTTGCATGCTTCATGTTCCTCACGTTCTGTGCTCCAGCACCTTGCATGCTTCATGTTCCTCACCTTCTGTCCTTCAGCTCCTTGCTTGCTCCATGTTCCTTACCTTCTGTTCTCCAGCACCTTACATGCTCCATATTCCTCACCTTCTGTCCTCCAGCACCTTGCATGCTCCATGTCCCTCACCTTCTGTGCTCCAGCACCTTGCATGCTCCATGTTCCTCACCTTCTGTCCTCCAGTTCCTTACATGCTCCATGTCCCTCACCTTCTGTGCTCCAGCACCTTGCATGCTCCATGTTCCTCACCTTCTGTCCTCCAGCACCTTACATGCTCCATGTCCCTCACCTTCTGTCCTCCAGCACCTTACATGCTCCATATTCCTCACCTTCTGTCCTCCAGCACCTTACATGCTCCATGTTCCTCACCTTCTGTCCTCCAGCACCTTACATGCTCCATGTCCCTCACCTTCTGTCCTCCAGCACCTTACATGCTCCATATTCCTCACCTTCTGTCCTCCAGCACCTTACATGCTCCATGTTCCTCACCTTCTGTCCTCCAGCACCTTACATGCTCCATGTTCCTCACCTTCTGTCCTCCAGCACCTTACATGCTCCATATTCCTCACCTTCTGTCCTCCAGCACCTTGCATGCTCCATGTTCCTCACTTTCTGTGCTCCAGCACCTTGCATGCTCCATGTTCCTCACCTTCTGTGCTCCAGCACCTTACATGCTCCATGTTCCTCACCTTCTGTCCTCCAGCACCTTACATGCTCCATGTTCCTCACCTTCTGTCCTCTAGCACCTTACATGCTCCATGTTCCTCACCTTCTGTGCTCCAGCACCTTACATGCTCCATGTTCCTCACCTTCTGTCCTCCAGCACCTTGCATGCTCCATGTTCCTCACCTGTGATCTTGAATTTTGTATTTTTTGTTCATTATTGATATGTAAGAACGGAAATGATTGAATTGGTGAATTCACAAATCTCTCGCCCTTTATAGGACGATCTGAGCTCCGGAGCGCTCCTGTTCCGGTTTGATGTTCATATTATTTATGGAGAAATATAAATATTTCTTGAAAATTGAATTGTATGATCACGGTCAGGGCTGGTGTCACTAGCATTGTTCTCCTCAGGAGCCGGATCCCTAGAATATGGACACTGACCTGCTTTGTACCTACCGCTCCCTCACTGCTGAAAATGCTGCACAAATAGGTGAGCGTGGCACCACCTTGCCCTGTCCTCCAAAGCCACCTTGCACCCGGGGGGGGGAGGGGGGGTTCTCGCCAGTGACACCATCACTTGAGTGACATTAGAGAAGTGTCTCAAAGTAGAACCGTCTAGAACTGCGATGGTCAACTCTACTGATATAGGGAGCACCGAGTAGTCCCGACGGTACCAGAGGGCCACATGTGATAGTAAATATTCCAGAGACTGCGGCAACAGGAGAAGGTCCAGGACTATGGACAGTGCTACAGGGGATGGGCAGAGACTGCAGGAGTCCTTGGTGACTGGGGACATCCTTCAGGAGACAACTGGAGACACATTACAGGAGAAGGTCCAGGACTATGGACAGTGCTACAGGGTATGGGCAGAGACTGCAGGAGTCCTTGGTGACTGGGGACATCCTTCAGGAGACAACTGGAGACACATTACAGGAGAAGGTCCAGGACTATGGACAGTGCTACAGGGGATGGGCAGAGACTGCAGGAGTCCTTGGTGACTGGGGACATCCTTCAGGAGACAACTGGAGACACATTACTGGAGAAGGTCCAGGACTATGGACAGTGCTACAGGGGATGGGCAGAGACTGCAGGAGTCCTTGGTGACTGGGGACATCCTTCAGGAGACAACTGGAGACACATTACAGGAGAAGGTCCAGGACTATGGACAGTGCTACAGGGGATGGGCAGAGACTGCAGGAGTCCTTGGTGACTGGGGACATCCTTCAGGAGACAACTGGAGACACATTACAGGAGAAGGTCCAGGACTATGGACAGTGGTACAGGGGATGGGCAGAGACTGCAGGAGTCCTTGGTGACTGGGGACATCCTTCAGGAGACAACTGGAGACAGGAGACTGCTGGGGGTCACTGCTATTACAGGGAGATAGGGACGCTCAGACTACAGTCTGCAGGAATCAGGGGCCACCCAAAAAGGACCAGAGGGCCACAGGCTGCTCATTAGGTACTGCTGGGTCTAGAAGGGCATATCATGTGATTCAGGTGTTCCAATCCCCTGCAAATCATGTGATTCTGGTGATCCAATCCCCTTCATATGTGATTCAGGTGTTCCAATCCCATCCCAATCATGTGATTCAGGTGTTCCAATCCCCCTCCAAATCATGTGATTCAGGTGTTCCAATCCCCTCAATATCATGTGATTCAGGTGTTCCAATCCCCTCAATATCATGTGATTCAGGTGTTTCAATCCCCTCCATATCATGTGATTCAGGTGTTCCAATCCCCTCCACATCATGTGATTCAGGTGTTCCAATCCCCTCCCAATCACGTGATTCAGGTGTTCCAATCCCCTCCCAATCATGTGATTCATGTGTTCCAATCCCCTCCAAATCATGTGATTCAGGTGTTCCAATCCCCTCCATATCATGTGATTCAGGTGTTCCAATCCCCTCCATATCATGTGATTCAGGTGTTCCAATCCCCTCCATATCATGTGATTCAGGTGTTCCAATCCCCTCCAAATAATGTGATTCTGGTGTTCCAATCCCCTCCATATCATGTGATTCTGGTGTTCCAATCCCCTCCATATCATGTGATTCAGGTGTTCCAATCCCCTCCATATCATGTGATTCTGTGTGTTCCAATCCCCTCCATATCATGTGATTCAGGTGTCCCAATCCCCTCCCAATCATGTGATTCAGGTGTTCCAATCCCCTCCATATCATGTGATTCAGGTGTTCCAATCCCCTCCATGGACACAGGTGTATACAATCAAGCCCCTAGGCATGCAGACGGCTTCTACAAACATTGGTGAAAGAATGGGTCGCTCTCAGGAGCTCAGTGACTCCAAGCGTGGTCCCGTGATAGGTGGCCACCTGTGCAATAAGTCCATCCGTGACATTTCCTGGCTACTAAATATTCCACCAACTGTTAGTGGGATTATAACAAAGTGGAAGCCACTGGGAACAACAGCCACTCAGCCACCAAGTGGTAGGCCACGTCACATGACAGGGCGGGGTCAGCGCATGCTGAAGCGCACAGTGCGCAGAAGTCGCCAACTGTCTGCAGAGTCAATAGCTAAAGACCTCCAAACTTGGTGTGGCCTTCAGATGAGCCCAACAACAGTGCGTAGAGAGCTTCATGGAATGGGTTTCCATGGCCGAGCAGCTGCATCCAAGCCTTCCATCACCAAGTGCAATGCAAAGCATCGGATGCCGTGGTGTTAAAGCACGTCGCCACTGAACTCTAGAGCAGCTGCATCCAAGCCTTCCATCACCAAGTGCAATGCAAAGCGTCGGATGCCGTGGTGTAAAGCATGCCGCCACTGGACTCTAGAGCAGAGGAGACATGTTCTTTTGAGCAGGGGCGGACTGACCATTTGGAAACTCGGGCGATGCCCGAGGGCCCAGGGTCAGTAGGGGGCCCCATGAGATGCCCCTGGTACCTTTTTCATAGGCTTTTTTGAGTTTGGGCAAGGACACGGGCCCCATGAGTTGTCAATCCGCCCCTGCTCTAGAGTGACCAATCACACTTCTCTGTCTGGCAATCCGATGGACATGTCTGGGTTTGGCGGGTGGCAAGGAGAACGGTACTTGCCTGACTGCATTGTGCCAAGTGTAAAGTTGGGTGGAGGGGGGATTATGGTGGGAGGTGCTTTTCAGGGATTGGGCTTGGCCCCCTAGTTCCGGTGAAGGGAACTCTTAAGGCGACATTTTGGACAATTTCATACTCCCAACTTTGTGGGAGGAGTTTGGGGATGGCCCCTTCCTGTTCCAACATGACTGCCCACCAGTGCACAAAGCAAGGTCCATAAAGACATGGAGGAGCCAGTTTGGGGTGGAGGAACTTGACTGTCCTGCACAGAGTCCTGACCTCAACCCCATAGAACACCTTTGGGATGAATTAGAGCGGAGACTGCGAGCCAGGCCCCTCCCCCGACATCAGTGCCCCTCCCCCGACATCAGTGCCTCCTCCCCCGACATCAGTGCCTGACCTGACAAATGTGCTTCTGGAAGAATGGTCCAACCTTCCCATAGACACCCTCCTAAACCTTGTGGACGGCCTTCCCAGAGGAGTTGAAGCTGTTATAGCTGCAAAGGGCGGGGCCAACTCAATATTGAACCCTACGGACTAAGACTGGGGGGCCATTAAAAGTCATGTGTGTTGAAAGGGCGGGGCCAACCCAACATTGAACCTTACGGACTAAGACTGGGGGCCATTAAAGGTCATGTGCGTGGGAAGGGCGGGGCCAACTCAATACTGAACCCTACGGACTAAGACTGGGGGGGCCATTAAAGGTCATGTGCGTGGAAAGGGTGGGGCCAACTCAGTATTGAACTCTAGGGACTAAGACTGGGGGCCATTAAAGGTCATGTGCGTGGAAAGGGCGGGGCCAACTCAATATTGAACCCTACGGACTAAGACTGGGAGGCCATTAAAGGTCATGTGTGTGGAAAGGGCGGGGCCAACTCAATATTGAACCCTAAGGACTAAGACTGGGGGGGCCATTAAAGGTCATGTGCGTGGAAAGGGCGGGGCCAACTCAATATTGAACCCTACGGACTAAGACTGGAGGGCCATTAAAGGTCATGTGCGTGGAAAGGGCGGGGCCAACTCAGTATTGAACCCTAAGGACTAAGACTGGGGGGCCATTAAAGGTCATGTGCGTGGAAAGGGCGGGGCCAACTCAATATTGAACCCTACGGACTAAGACTGGAGGGCCATTAAAGGTCATGTGCGTGGAAAGGGCGGGGCCAACTCAGTATTGAACCCTAAGGACTAAGACTGGGGGGCCATTAAAGGTCATGTGTGGGGAAAGGCCGGCCAACCAATACTTGGGGGAATATGGTGGATGATGGATCACAATGACATACAATTGATCTAGAAGGGATTCCTGTGATATACAATCATTCGATAAGATGAGACTCTATACAACTGAATTTATTGATGAGATCTCTTCTGTTGGTTTTCGATCCATGAAGGGTTGTACTGATCTCATGTCAGCCGCCATTATTCCCACATTGATGGAGGACTTCCCGGAATGGGCACTATTCCTCCCACTGACACCAATGATGGGGCACTATTCCTCCCACTGACACCAATGATGGGGCACTATTCCTCCCACTGACACCAATGATGGGGCACTATTCCTCCCACTGACACCAATGATGGGGCACTATTCCTCCCACTGACACCAATGATGGGGCACTGTTCCTCCCACTGACACCAATGATGGGGCACTATTCCTCCCACTGACACCAATGATGGGGCACTGTTCCTCCCACTGACACCAATGATGGGGCACTATTCCTCCCACTGACACCAATGATGGGACACTATTCCTCCCACTGACACCAATGATGGGACACTATTCCTCCCACTGACACCAATGATGGGACACTATTCCTCCCACTGACACCAATGATGGGGCACTATTCCTCCCACTGACACCAATGACGGGACACTATTCCTCCCCCACTGGACTCTACTCCCACTGACACCAATGATGGGACAACTATTCCCCCCCCACTGACTTCCCAATGATGGGACACTATTCCCCCCACTGACACCAATGATGGGGCGACTATTCCACTGGACACTCACCAATGATGGACACTATTCCTCCTAGCACTGACACCAATGATGGGGCACTATTCCTTTCCCACTGACACCACAATGGGACACTCTTCCTCTCCACTGACACCAATGACGGGGCACTATTCATTCCCACTGACACCAATGCCTAGTGGGGGCACTATTCCTCCCACTGACACCAATGATGGGACACTATTCCTCCCACTGACACCAATGATGGGACCATTCCTCCCTACTGACATAACCAATGACGGGGCACAATTCCTCCCACTGGACACAATGACGGAAGGCACTATTCCTCCCACTGACACCAATGACGTAGGTCGTCAATGGGGCACTATTCCTGTCCTCTGACACAATGAATGAGCACTATTTCCTCCACTGACAACCAATGACGGTGCACTAATTCCATCCACTGACACCAATGATGGCGCACTATTCCCCCACCACTGACACCATAGCTTGATGGGAGATACTATCATCCCCCACTGACACCCAATGATGGGACACTATTCCTTCCCACTGACACCAATGATTGGACACTACACCAATGATGGGGCCACTATTTCCCCCATGACACCAATGATGGGAGGACACTATTCCTCCCACTGACACCAATGATAGGGACACTATGTTCCTCCCATCTGACACCAATTGATGGGGACTATTCCTCCCACTGACACCAATGATGGACACTATTCCTCCCCCATGACACTCCAATGAATCCAAGGGGGACAATATTCTCCCATGCCTCCCAATCATTCGATCGACGTGAGCATATAGTTCCTCCCACTGACACCAATTGATGTGGCATCTATTTCCTCCCACTGGTTTTCGACCAATTGAAGGTTGCCCCAGTGAGCTCATGTCAGCCGCCATTATTCCCAAATTGGGGGAGGACTAGTGAGCCCCATCGTTGGTGATCAGTGGGGAGGAGGAAACAGCTAATTGCCTGACCATCGTTTGAACAGTCCAAGGATGGAGCCGAGGACTAATAGTGCCACTGACACCAATCTTTGGGCACTTGTCCTACGCGGTGACACGAATGATGAGGCCACTAGTTGCTCCCCACTGAAACCAAGATTGGGCGATAATCTCCCACTGACACTCAACTGGGGCACTATTCCTCCACATTGACACCAATGATGGGGCACTATTCTCACTGCAACACTAAGTGGCATATTTCCACTTGCCAAACGATGTGGCACATTATTCTCACTGCACACGATGGGGGCGTATTTCCTATGAAAGGATGGGCGCAGATATCTCCGCCCATGGACACCATCAATGGGGGCCTAATCCTCCCATCTGCAGCAATGATGGGACAGTATTCCTCCCACTGGACACCAACGATGGGACAGTATTTCCCCCACTGACACCAATGATGGGCCGTCACTACTTCCTCCACATGACAACGATGTTGGGGGGTAATCCTTCCATGACAGATGGGGCACTATTTTCCCCCCACTGACACCCCAAAGATGGGGGATTTTCCCCATACACCTGATGGGCATATTCCTCCCACTGCACCAATGATGGGGCACTTTCCCCCCGGGGGCCTATGGGGGATTTCCCCCACTGCACCAAAGATGGGGCCATTCCCCCCAGAC